AAAAAAAAATTGTCACATGTAAAAAACTTTAAAAACTATAAGTGCAATTTTTTAGAAATATTTTTTTAGTTGTAATTTAATTAATAAAAAAAATCAAAAATTTTTACACGTCTTCTAACTTCAGTGTCATTAAATTTTATGTAGCAATATTCATGAAATATAAAATTAGTTTAGACGAATTAACATATATTTTCATCATAATATTGTGTTTAAATTACTCAGGTAATCACACTCGGTCATCAGCATTAAATTATTATCTTTCTCATTCTAAAAGTGTGCAATTATACGTATTGCAATTGAAAATCATCACAAAACATTAAAATTATTCCACAAATATTTAAATTAACATAAAACATGACTAAATTTCAAGTAGTATTCATGAAACATAAAAACTGTGATAAAATTCTTCGTAGTCTTTATTAATTTTTATAAAAATAATAAAAAAAAATTTTCATTCTGTTGTTTAATTTCCAAAGTCGCCTATTGGCGACGAGTCGCCTTCAATAACATTTTAGTCGCCGAGCCTTGTTAAAAGTAGCCTAAATGGCGATAAGTCGCCGCATCTGGCAACCCTGCTCAGTGAACGGACTGTAAGCCCTATACTTCCTTAAACTTTTTCCATTTTTCCACATAACATGATGTATGTAAATTTAAAATAGCGCCTCAAGTTTCTTCTATTATTTAATTATAAATTCTGCGTATGACACTAGATGCCACTGCGGTGTCAGAGTAGTTCCAAATATCATGCTATGGTCACGCAACTGAACTCTATTTAATTGTTGGTATTTGGTGTTTGGATAGTTTGGATCCATCCATCTCGCAGCTAACCTAAAATTTTTTAATTTTACCACTGCTTACATTATTTATATACAAATAAAACGTTCAAGTTACATATTTAGTAAAATTTTATATTTCATTATATTTACAATTTACAAATTAAATAATAAAAAAAGCAATAAAATATGCTCGCGTTACAAGGATACAACAGCAGCGACGATGAAGGTCCAGTTGATACCCAAGTGGAGACTAGTAATAATGACAAAATAAACAGTGAAAACAGTGTCGCGATATCTATGAAAATTTGTGCTGCACCTGACGTAGTACCTACAGTATGTATTTTATTTAATTTTTAATTTTTCATCTTTTTCAAATATTATAATATTTACTTTTATTTTTTTTTAGGGCACTGAATTGTGTGTTAGACACGTTGATTCTACAGTGAGTGAGTTACCGTATAACCCAAAATACGACGAACTATTTGCTCCAGAGGTAGGCCCGACAAATCCGTTTAAAACTCAGCAGCAGCGAGCTCCCAAAAATATACTGTCGGGTTATGTGGAAAAAGCTGTCATTAGTGATTTTCAGTTTGAAAATCAAAGAAGAACTTTTGCTAGTTATGGTAAGAATTTTTTATCTAAAATTACCTGTGAGAGTTAATTATTAGGATCACGCTAAAAAACTGACTGTGATACTGAAAATAACGGACATGTGTTAATTTTTAAAATAGACTTTTATAAAAAAAATTCACATGTAGACATTTAAAACAACTATAAGTATTTAAAAAAAATTTTTTTTTTTTTACTAATTTATTGCTATTATTTAAAAAAAAATTGGATTTATAATATCCACACGAGGAATTTTTTTAATAATTTTTTTTTTTAACATAGTTTATTTGGTAAAAAATCCTAAAAAATATCAGATGTCTCAATTTCAGCATCATTGCTATTTTTTTCTTCAAGTCTATGAAAATTTTTTAGTCTATCGAGTTTTAAAATACCTCCAAAAATTGGCTCGACAAAAAAATTTCTAAGGCTCGTTCAAGACTTTAGAAAGTTCAGAAAATCAAAAATTGAATTTTTTTGCTTTCAATATTTTTTATTGACAGTCTATTATTTTGTAGTTTAAAAATGATTTATATTCTAAAAATTGAAAATTCAAATTTATTATTTATAGAAGTCACTAAATATTTTCAAAACTTTCATCAGATGCCGGATAAATATTTTAAAATTAATAATACAGTAGTAATTATTGTTTTCTCAGACTTTTATTTATTTTTTGGTGATTTATTTATATTGTTTAGTGTGTCAATTTGATAGAAACAAAATTTAAAGTTCGTTGATATTAATATTGACAAATTGAGAGAAAACATTTCAATTACTCTACTTTAAAAGTTTAAAAAATTGTGAGCGAGCCCTAAACATTTTCTTATCGAGCTGATATTTGTCGCGGACTGTTAAAATATAAATTAACATATTTTCATGTTCAACTCGAAGAAAAAAAAAATTCTTTTTTGCCACCCTATAAATTTTAAAAGAAATAAATTTCCACAATAATTTATTATTCCAATTACTTATTCAAACTTCTTACCAGGTTACGCATTGGACCCCACGATAGATGGAAGCGCCGAAGAAGGCCGAACGTTGATAGGTTCACCCTCAGTCGCAGAAGAAAACAACTCTAAAACAGTCTTCGAGCGAACAGAACTTCGTCCAGCCGACAAACGAAAACGCCACAGAAATGACGACCCTCAAGACATTGCAGGGTTCCTGGGCCCTTGGGGTGGCTACGTCGACGAGAAAAAAGTAATGAAACCCACTGAAGAAGAGGCTGCCGAGCTCGAGGAAATTCTCGCCAAGAAAAACAAACGCGGCAAGCAAGTAGAGGAAAAACCTCTCGAAGAAAAGACTGTTCTGCACATAAAAGACCCTCTGGACTACCAAGGTCGTTCCTTCCTCCACGCTCCCCAGGACGTTGGCGTGAACCTTCGGTCAGACTCGCCTCCGGACAAATGTTTCTTGCCCAAGTCCCAAATCCACACCTGGGAAGGCCACACCAAGGGAATTTCCCAGATCAAGTGGTTCCCAAAAACTGCTCACCTTTTGCTTTCCTGCAGCATGGACTGTCGTGTGAAGCTCTGGGAAGTCTATAAGGACCGAAGGTGTGTCAGAACTTACTATGGACACCGACAAGCTGTTCGCGACATCAGCTTCGACAACGACGGCTCCAGATTTTTGTCTGCGGGCTATGACCGATACGTAAAGCTCTGGGATACCGAGACCGGAGCTTGCATCAGCAGATTCACCAGCAGGAAAATTCCCTACTGCGTCAAGTTCAACCCAGACCATGACAAGCAGCATCTGTTTGTAGCAGGAACCAGCGATAAAAAGATCATCTGTTGGGACACCAGATCTGGAGAAATCACTCAAGAATATGACAGACATCTGGGAGCTGTCAATACGATTACTTTTGTTGATGAAAATCGCCGGTTTGTAACTACTTCTGATGACAAGAGTCTCAGGGTCTGGGAATGGGACATCCCGGTTGATATGAAGTATATTGCGGATCCAACGATGCACTCCATGCCTGCAGTCACTCCGTCGCCCAATCAAAAATGGCTGGCTTGTCAGAGTATGGATAATAAAATTGTCATCTTCTCTGCTTTGAATCGCTTCAAGATGAATAGGAAGAAAACTTTCACCGGGCATATGGTTGCTGGTTATGCTTGCGGGTTAGACTTTTCGCCTGATATGAGCTACTTAGTATCTGGTGATGCTGATGGCAAATGTTACTGTTGGGACTGGAAGTCTACTAAGCTGTTCAAAAAGTGGAAAGCTCATGACGGTGTTTGTATTTCTACGCTCTGGCATCCTCATGAACCATCCAGGGTTGCTACTGCTGGTTGGGATGGAAAGATAAAATATTGGGACTAATTTTGTATATTAGTTGTTTATTATTTATAAGTAAATTAATTGATAGAATAAAGAATATTTTTTATATAGACTTGCAGTCACCCTTATTTTGTATTTTTTAGTGTTGAAAATCAATAATGTGGTTGGGGTTTCACGCTGAGGGCGCTGTGTACGTGGTTGGAGTATACAGAGGGTTTTGTTAATTGTTGGTTGTTTTAATTGTTAGTTTATTGATAGTGAATGGTAGTTGTTAGTTATTGTTGTAAATTTAAGATTGTTAAACGAAAGACTTGTGTAATATTATACGTTGGTAAGTAAATAGAAGTACTATCTATGTTGGAAGTACATGAATGATTTTCTGAGAATAATATTTACTTTTGTGAATTATTTTATTTTATTTACAGAAGAAAAATTTTAATTATCTGAGAAAAATAATTCAATTTAATTATATATTTGTACACAAGTTTGTATAATTATATTTTAATTTCTAATATGTTCATATGAAAAATTTTTTTTATGCGTAAATAAATTGTGTTATATTTACGCTGCGTAGATAATAGAATTTTTTATTGCTACTTACAATGGTAAATAAATGTATTTACTAAAAATTCATGGAAAATTACATATTTGAGCAAAGAAAGAATTTTCATATTTTTATTTAATTTTTTTTTTTTTTTAATTATAAATTGATGAAAATAATTGTAGATATTGTATCTCAAAATATTGTTTTTATTGGTATTAATTTTTTGATAAAAATAATAACAATCATTAATGCTATTGTTATTATTAAATTCTATCAATATATCTTATTGTATTATTATATATAATTATATCTTCCCATGTCCGGATAAAAATTTTTTATGAAATACTACGACTCAAATTTAATAAAATTGAATGAAATTTCATGTAATTTTTCGAAATTTTATCAAGCCATTTTTTGCATAACATATAAAAAAGTAAATGAAATTTTGCAAATTTTATCAATCTATTTTCAGCATCAAATTTAATGAAATTTAAATACTAGATCCAATCATTTATTCTCAGATATTTAATTAATATATCCAAATTTTAACAATATATCTTAGCAATTATTTAAAGATAAAGTTAAAAACTATAAATTAGCACGTAGTAAAAAAACTAACAGGAATTAAAGCCATGAACGACTGTCTATTTTTTAAGTCACTTATTATTTTTACCAACAATTAAAAATAAAACTAAAAATGTCTAGACATATAATCACCTCGGAAAATGGATAATGGACTAGGGTATTCATATCATTTACCTTCAGGAGGATGGAGTTTGAAAATACGGAATACATTGACGCAATTCAGCGATTTGTTTAGCGAATTTAACAAATATATTGCACCTGCCTATCATCATGATCGATGTGAAAGGTAATCCAATTAATAAATTAATAAATAAATATATATTCTACTTGATTATGAAATTAACTTGTCTATAATTTCAGATCAGTACCAATGCGCCTTTACTCGATGCACAAACGTGAGTTCGTGATGGTCTTCGTTGCGTTTTTCGCATGTTTTGGCCTTGCGGTGTTCATAGGACTCGCGGGTCCACCGATAACTTCAACTTTTGAAGAAAAGGCGAAATCTAACAGCACGGATATGGCCAGCGGGCCTTTTATCATGAAGACTCCAGCTTTGTCAACTTATAGTCAGCAGTTGTGGGTCATTGCCAAGTTCTCGACGTCTAATACTGATGGTTACTTTTTTTTATTTTTAACAACTGAAGTTATCGCTGAATAACAAAAATAAAATAATTCATTTTATCAATTATCATAAGAAAAAACTAATTTCATTAATTATGATTAATAAAATTATTAAAAATTTTTTTAGATGAAAGGTATGACAAGAGTTTCCAAGTAAGTGTCAAAATAGACGGAGTAACTGAAGATGATAAATTAGTACCCGTGCTAAGTAGCGAGACTGCTCATCGCAACAGGACGAGGCACTTAAAGTGCGAAAGACAAGTTTGTGAAGAATTGATAGTCGCGCATCTCGGATCTCTTGATTACACCCATTATATTTTAACAGTACGGTTCTACGGACTCGAGGGCTTCCATCAGCGGTATTCGATTAAAGACTTGAGTTTTTATGTATGATTTTTCATCAAAAACTTATTTTATGTAGGTTGTCATAATAATTAATTAATTTAAAATTTTTCATTTAAAATAGTTCAAAAATTACAATCCAGCATTCACGCAGATAGAAATATGGTTCCGACTGATATTTCTTCTTGCAGCCTTTATTGTTACGGTAACTATTAATTTTTTTTAAGAAAATTATTTAACAGATAGATAGTAATTGTTGAATGTTATTTTAGTGTTGGTTTGGACACTCACTCAAGAAATATCCGATGAATGATTGGTCTATTGAACAAAAATGGGTATCAGTACTCCTTCCACTTCTTATTCTTTACAACAGTAAGAATTTTTTTTTAATTAATACCATAAGTGATCATAATAGTCATAATCATTAACTTGACTTAAAATTTCATTGATATTGATAAAAGTCGCGAATTAAAAATTTTAATTTATTTAAATATGGATATTTGAAGGCATTTCAATAGACACTTCTTTTAAATAAGTATAAGACGGAAGAAATTTTTTTAAACTTGGGAATTCTATATTACGTCCTACGAGCGAAGTATTGAGAAGCATAAAATATATTTTTGTTAAGAAATTTAATTCTCTAAAAGAAAGATCTCTTATGATTTTTTCATCAATCAACTTTTTCAAAAGATATTCAAGATTAAAGTTTGACAAATAAATCGTTTATTTGAGAAACCCTATAAGTCATATTTTTTTCGAAATCGAATTTATTGCATTTTTCGGTTCTTTGAATTTCCCCTCACTTATACCAGCACCAAAAAATATTAAATCCTTGTTCAAGACCTAACCAATCGGTCGATATAAATCTCGTTTAGTTGAGAAACCCCTTAAGTCAGTGACTTATGGGGTTTTTCGAATAAACATTAAATTTAAAAATTCTAAAAATAAATTTTTTTTTTTTTTTTTTATAAATCTCGTTTAGTTGAGAAACCCCATAAGTCACTGACTTATGGGGTTTTACGAATAAAAATTCAATTTTAAAAGTCCAAAAATAAATTTCTTTTTGTTTTTTATTTCCAAAAAACTTCTTTTAAGTAGAAAAATTCGCTTCAATGCAAAATACTTAAATTTTAATAATTTTCACAGTGTGGGTTCATAAAAATTAAATTAAATTATTGTTTTATTGTTTGATGTGATTTCACTGACTTTAATTTTAAAATGATTGATTATTAGATAATTTGAAACTAAATTTACTGTTAAATAATTGAATTTCAATGAGTTGTACAATATTCGCTTAATGAATTAAAATTAAAAATATGTTGTTGATTCTGATTTAACTAATTTAACTTCTGAAATTAATGATAACTTGATAACCAAATAAAAATATATTATATTTACTGTTAAATACTTTGATTTCAATAATTTTTGCAAATTTAGTTTTATAAAGTTAGATTGTGATAAATTAAAATGTTGTTTTTATTATATTGTTGACTCTCAGTTCACTAATTTGAATTTACAAATAGATGATTTTATTATAATTTTCGTTAATTGTAGTTCCAATACATATTTTGTACTTTATTTTATAAATATAATAAATGATTGACGGAAAAAAATTAATAAATTAATGATTTTATTACTATTTTGTTCGTTTTGGTGAGAAATCCCACAAGTCAATCAGGTTCAAATCATTATTATGAATAGTAGTAATTAACAATTAAATTTTTTCATGCTCGAATATTTTTTCGGGATACTAACATTATTATTATTCATCATTGGTTCATGATAATGCAAACTTAACCGAGAAACAAGTTTTTTGCTTCTCTTGAAAAATTTAGTATTTTTGACTAATGGGGTTTCTCAAATAAACGATTCACATGTTTTCTTTTTAAAATTTTATTTCATTCTTTATTAAATCATTTATTATTATTATTCATCTTTTTTAAAAAATTACAGATCCATTTTTCCCACTGATTTTCTTAATAAACTCATGGATACCAGGAATGTTGGACGCGATTACGCAGACAACATTTCTCTGCGCCATTTTGATGTTCTGGCTCTGTGTCTATCACGGTCTAAGACAAGTAAGTTCTATAAATATAATTATAATTATTATAAAGTAACACAAAAAAATAATCTTTTTAAATATTTAGAATGACAGAAGACTATTAACATTTTACCTACCAAAATTATTGGTAGTCGGATCTTTATGGTGTTCAGCTCTAACTCTCGCTACCTGGTTAAGATGGACGGAACTCGAGGACCCAACTTATGACTACGCTCTTGATACATCTAATTACTATGTAATTTTTTTTTAATCTATAACAATTTTATCAATTTATCAACTAATTAATGAATTGCTCTTCTAGGGATTCAAAGTCTTCTTTTTCACAATTGGAGCAATTTATATCGCGTATTTACTCCTATTAATGTTGAGAGCGTACAGCGAATTGCGTGCCATGCCGTATTTTGGTAAGTTAATTTAATTAATTAATTAAAAACTAAAAATCAATACTTTATTAACAATAATTTAATCATTATTTTCAGATCTAAGACTCAGATTTTTAACTCTGCTAGCAGTGATAGTAGCAACCGTGTCAGGAATCGTCACATCTAGACATTTCGGTGCTGGAGTTCTTGAAGACAGTTTTGCATCTCGTTTGTCGACTTATTACCGAACATCAGCGCAATTCATGGCTCTTTATGGTCTTCTCAATTTTTATCTGTACACTATGGCATACGTTTACTCTCCAGGGTTACAACAAGTCTATGGACAGCGTAATATAATTAATTATTCCTTCATTAATTTATTATTTATTTTTTCGTTAATTTATTATTATTTTTACATTAATTAATAATAATAAAATTAGCGGTAATTTTTTTTTTTATTTTTTTTTTTTTTTTTTTTAATTTGTTTAAAGTCGCATAAACTACTAAGGTCATGAGCGACTACGGTAGGGGGTACACTTTTGAGATTGGAACTCGTTTGTATTTCTTGGGCTGAGCAGAATAATACACTTAAATATTGAAAATATTCATTGGTGTACGCCGGATTCGAACCCGGTCCAATGCTTTGGTAGCAAGGGCCGGATCCGATAGGCTACTGCGCGCCTCTTTTTATTTTTTTTTTTTTTATTTTTTTATTTTACTTCATTTATTAAATTAGAACTAAAAAATATTTTTTTTTTAATTGCACTTACAGTTTTTCAATTTTTCTACATGTCAAATTTTATTTTTTTATTTTTAGTGGTAATTTTTTTTAATTAAAAAGGATTATAAAAATTTTTAAATGTCGGCTAACTTAATTTTCATCATTAAGTATTTCTTCAGTAATTTTTTTATATCGTTAATTTATTATTTCTGCAGCAATCTTTTCGTTATTAATTAATTCTTTGATAATTTTTTTTCTTCACTAATTAATCATTTGTCCAGTAATTTTATTCAATCATTAATTAATTATTCCTTCATTTTATAAACAGATTCATCAATAACAAAAGACAACCCTACATTTTCAATGATTAACGAATCAGATGAAGATATTCTCTACGGCTCCGATGAAGACAGCCGACGACCATTAACCAGAGCCACAAGAAATACCGACGACAGTGATTAAAAATCAAATGAATTAATTAACCAATTACTTTTTAAATAATTAACAGTCATTACTAATAAATGACTATAAATAACTTAAGAAATTCACAAACTTTTTTAGCGGTAAATTTATAGATAATTTATTTAAAAATTAAGACTCAAAAATTTACCACTAAAAAGTGAATTAAAATGACTAATTACCGTATATTATTATTAGTATGACTAAATGACAATATACAGCTGGTTAAATTAATCTATAAAAAATTAATTAACAGTTTAAACCAAAAGGGACAAGTGCAAAAATTGAAATGTTTTTTTTTTTTTTTAATAAATTATAAATATTTTTATGTACATATAGTTCATTGTTATGTAATCAATATATCAATGTTTGATAATTAAATTATTAATAATAAATGTTTGTAATATTATAAAACTAATAATTTTTTTTTTTCATTTATTCAAATTTCCCGCTGGTTCTTGAGTTTCCTATTGGCCAAACGCTTCGCGGCTTTTTATCGCGGCTAGTGCAGAAATTTAGTAACCGTCAGCTCACACATACACATATAAATATGCGTTGTAAGTCGGCTGTAACACAGAACACAGTTCACAAAGACGGTTAGGCTGTTTAGTTGTAAGTAACATAAATACGTAATTCTTTTGTATTTATTCCTACAAATATTTAACTACTTATTTATGTTAATTCATTTTTGCAACTCAGTAAAGTCTCTTTACTTATCGCGTTGCTTTTGTAGTACCACGATATTATGTAAGTTTTAGTAATTATTTACTTGTTTAGATATTTTTTTTGCCGGCAAAAATTTATTTTTGTTGAAATTTATATTTATTTTGTTATTAATTTTTAAGCATCATTAACTTTCGGTACCTTAGAAACTTTTTATTTATCTGAAACATGAATATTAAATGTTAGATGAATATATAAAAAGTTTTAATGACAAAAATGAATTGTAACCTAAAATTATATTTCAGTCAGTAATAAGTATAAAGATTTTTGGAAGGAGGAACTTTCTTTAAATATTTTCAACATGCCTAAAAAATCAAGAGAGTATGTTTCAAGCGACGAAAGTGAATCTGGAAGTCATTCCGAGGTATTATTTATTTTTAATAATTATTTTTTATTGAAGTTGAAAGTTAATCTGATGCTGAACTCTGTCGACATTTGACAATTTTTAGGTTTTATTTCAGAAAAAAAATTTTTTTTTTTTTTTTTTCTAATTTTGACATCTGGAATTTTTATTTAATTTTTTTTATGTTAATTTCAGTGTATGATGAATTTTTTCAAATTTCTACATGTGAAATTTTTGTGGTACTAAATTTAATATTACTAAAGTTAGCTGACGCTTTTAATTTTTTGATTTTTTTTTTTCATTTATCAAATTAGATCTAAAGAATATTTTATTAAAAATGCACTTATAGTTTTTCAAATTTTTTACAAATGAACATTTTTTTTTTTTTTTTTTTTTTTTTTTTTGTAATAATTTTCTCAATAAAGAAAAATTCTAAAAATTTTTACATGTCAGCTAACTTAATTTTCATTAAATTCAACAGACATTTTAAAAATTAAAAGCGCGAATTTTTATTAAAATATTCTTTATCATAATTAATTGTTTATAAAACTTTCAAATGTCTGCTAATTTCAGTATCATAAATTTTTATTTTTTCTTCATAATAATTTGTTAATAAAAAAAAAAATTCAAAAAATCTTGACATGTCTTAATCAATGATATTGACTAAATTTTATTAAAAATATTTGTTATCAGGAAGAGAAACCAAAAAAGAAGCCAAAGCGCGAAGAAAAAAAGTCCAAAAAGGAAGAGAAAGAGGACAAGCCTGCTAAAAAAGCATCTTCCAGCAAGGTCGACGACGAGGAGCCAACCTGGAGCATTGGTAACAAGAGACAGGTCACTGTACGTACATTCAAGGGAAAATTGTACATTGACATTCGTGAGATGTATTTAGATGCCAACAGCGGTGATCTTAAGCCTGGTCGCAAAGGTATTTTTTTCTCTGTTTTCTGACTAGATTTTTTAATTATTATTTTTTTTTTCCATTAATGTTATTAATATTTTTGATACTTACAGGAATTTCTTTGACTCCTGAGAACTACAACAAGCTGAAAGATATATTAGAAGAGGTTGATGAAGCAGTTGCTCGCAAAGCATAATCTTAAATTGTTTACTGATTTCCTATAAATTTTTAATTCTTAAATGTAAACAGTACAATTATCCTTATAAGTTATTCAGTATTTGTAATTCACATTCTGAATGATAGTTTTCTGAATAAAAATCACCATTTAAAAATATCCTATCTATTTAATTTATTTTACTTTTTTTTATCAAAACTTTACATGTATAAAATATGAGCGACAATTCGCTTTCATTAAAACTCAAATTTTTTTTGTAATTACACTTAATTTACCAAGATAATATTACACGTATTTACACAAAAGGTTTTTCATATTTATAATTGGTAAAAATGACAATACATTTGTATTGTTAGTAAAACTTAACAATTAAAAATACATGCTCAGCATTAAAATTTTTTCCATTTTCAGAGAAGTTGCACTTGAAACAATTATTTTTCAGGTCCATGTACCGTTGCGAGTAATTTATCAATCTCAATTTGATTTAATTTACTTAATAGGAACTTCGGATCTTTTAATTTATTGTCCTGAAACAAACAATAGTTCAATTATAGTGATGATTGCTAGACAAGATGGCCGCGAGTTGATCAGCCAGAGTTCCAAGCACAAATTTTTGAGGTTAGGTTTACTTCCCGCAAACAATGTCACATTTTACGACAATTAACATCATACCAAAATTAATTATAGTTTATATAAGCCTAAGTTAATAAATAAATATTATAAATAAACGACTGTTAAAATATAATTAAAAAACGTTTTAATAACTTAAATCAACTATTAGTCATACAATGTTATAAAAAATTTTGATTCAAAGCGCATTTGAGTGTAATTATTTAAAAATATAAATATCAAGACTTAGTTTTTACAATTTAAAATCTTACACAAAAATTTTCTATTATCACTACTTTAAAATTCATAATAAACCATTAAAATTATATATACATGTTCCAATTATTTCATTAGTTCGGAATCTGACCCATAGAGGACTACCAAATGGGAGATAGATTAGGAATACCTACCGAGTTTTTACTCTTAGCCTCATTGCTGATTTTGTCTTCTTGATCTGGAATCAGCAAAATTTAACAATCAATAAAAATAATAAAAGTTTGGAAAATCCAAAAATGCACACCTCATAATTTTTACAAAGATTAAATGAAGCGAAAAAAATTTTTCAATTGTAAAGCACTTTCTGATTCTTCGCATCATAAGTCATGCAATAATTTTTTAGAGAATTCTAGCTGTTACTCGCCCGCTCCGCTGGACGCTTTATAGAATTGCATTTTTAGATCTAGACTTGAAATTTAATTAGAGTATTTGTTTATACTTGCACAGATTCCCAATTCTATCGAAATGGCATGCACTTTTTATCCATGTAATTATTCTAGCTAATATTCATTGTAACTTTCAATGTACAATCATTTTAACATTTCCGCGTCTTTCTTACAAAAATGAATAATAATTGATATGATAAAAAAAATTTGTAATGAGCATTGAAAGTATCAGTTAAAGAAATTGCAGGTCTCATAAGTGAAGAAATCTGCATAGTATATAGACATAAAAAAAAATCAAAGTCAAAAAAATATAGGTTCCGGATAAGTAATCACCACCATATAATACCGCGTGCCTAATGCCAAAAGGGCGTATTACAGCAGTTAGATAAATAAGGTTCTATGCCAAAAGGGAGTATAAAAAAAATTTTTTTTGCCATTCTTTTTAGAATCTTTCGAAACGTAAAGATCTACAAAAAATAGTATATTACACACCGAGGGAAGTAAAGTAAGAAATGTCTCAGATCACATGTTTGTTGACCTCGGCTTCGCCTCGGTTACTGGCCTAGGTATATAATATACTATTTCAAAAAACGGGGTAAAACTAATAACTTCCCGCTTTTAAAAAATTTTTAATTTTCTTAACGGGAAGTTAAAAATTATACGCCCTTTTGGCTTTAGATCACTAAATTTTTAGTGTTCTAAAGCCAAAAGGGCGTATAACTCGAGACATACGCCCGTTTGGCTTTAGAAATTTTTTTTTCATTTTTAGGCTTAGAACATGTTTACAAAACGATTAGCACAAAAAAAAAAAATTATATGCCCTTTTGGTTTTGTAAATTTTTATCCGCCCTTTTGGCATTAGGCACGCGATATATTAAAGTCTTCTCCGAAACACGCTGCATCTTATGGTATAAGTATTATTCCGATCGGTTCAATAGTTTTCGCAGTATAACTGGACAAAAAAACCGGCTCTTCATTTATTAGTATAGATAAGATGAATTATTTAGAGTGATTTTTTATATACGTCTATTCATATCATCGTGTAAGCGATATAATTACGATAGAGGCATTTTAAGAGCAAAAAATTGTTTGATTTTTAAGCCTTGAGAGAAAAGAACTACCTTAAGGCTTTGCGTTATGAGGTGTGCAAAATTTAATTTAAAAAAATCAACACTTACCCTTCTTTTTTTGTACTTGATTTGTGCTCGTAGATTTAGTAAGCTCGGGTTTGACGACTTTCGATGTTCCAGGCAGTTCCATAGTTAGCGGAGAAGAGGTCGCTAGTGGCTGTGACTCAATAGAAGTGACCATAGGCTTGCTGTCTCTCAGCTGAACCTTCCGTCTATACCTGACAGGCTCTGGAGCTGGCTTCGGCAGGTCTTTCTTGGTAATTTTCTTTACCCTGGCTGGCTGCAAGTTGAACAATTCTTCATGTGAAGTCAACGTCAGAATCACTGTCATGGTGTCACCATCTTCCGTCGGAATGGTGATCGGAACGACGTCAAGCGCTGTTTTACGGTAGCGCTTTTTCGAGTTAATATTATCATCGTGCACGAATTTTATCTCACAATGATTCATCGACAAGTCAGCCTCAGATTCACTGGAACTTTTAGATGTCGGTTGCAGATTCAGTGACTCCAGCACCATGTTTTTATCTGACAGTTCTTCAGTTTCAGGAACTTCTGGAGTATTGCTTTTATGCAACTGCATCATCAAATCTTCAACTTGACTAGATGTAACCTTTTTGGTTTCAACATCACTCATTTCGTCTCCACTGAACAAATCACGTTTCACCGCATCAACCTTCATTTTTTTGTCCATATTAGCCTTGTCATCTTTCTTGCTAACCTCATTATTACTCTTACCTTGATCAAGTTTAGCTCTATCAACAACTTCTTTCAACAATAATTTTCCCGTCAAGACACTATCAAGAATTTTACCACTTGGTAAATTAGTTTTTTCCACCTCAATCTTGCTTTTCCGATTATCTTCAACGGATTTCTTCTTGTCTTTATCCTTGCTGCTATCACTCTTGATCTTTTCTGCTTCATTTTTAGCAGCACGTGCTGCATACCGCGCTGACTTTCTTGTCACTGGAATAACTGGAAGTTTCACTTCTCTTCGACCATCATTGTTCTTATCTATTTCTTCTTTCTTAGCTTCCTTTGTCCCTTGGCCCTTCACCTTGTTTTTAACTTGTTCGCTTTTTTCTTCTTTGACATTTTTCTTGTCATCAGCAACCTGACTTCTGACCTTATCATTTTTGCTATCCTGAATTTCACTAGTAACTGCATTAATTTTAGTTTTGTCTTCTTTTTCAAGTCCACCAGTATCAGCATCAATTTTCTTCTTAACTTTATCCTCTTTAGTAGGCTGTATTTCATGGTTAAGCCTTTCGTTCCTAATCTTGTCATCCTTTTTATCCTTGTCATAGTCGGTTCGCTGATTCCTAGCCTTATCGTCTCTCCTATCTTTCCCTTCGTTATTTCCACGACTTCTATGATTTTTTCCTTTTTCTTCATGGCTTCTTCTACCTTTATCCTCATTACTCTCATGACTTTTAACTCTATCTTCGTTATTTCTATGATTTCTTCCTCTGTCTTCATTACTTCCATGACTTCTACCCCTTCCTTCATCACTTCCATGACTTTTACTCCTTCTTTCATTACTTCCACGGCTTCTACCCCTTCTATCATTACTTCTGTGGCGACCTCTTGTTTCATTACTTTTATCCCTCGGGTCATTGCTTCTATAACCTCTTTCATTTCCTTCATAATGGTCTCCATAAGTCCTATCCCTCGGGTCATTGCTTCTATAATCTCTCTTATTTCCTTCGTAATTATTTCCGTAAATTCTATCCCTCGGATCATTGCCTCTATAATTTCTATCATTTCCTTCATAAGAATTTCCATGAATTCTATACCTCGGGTCATAATTATTTCCATAACCTCTATCTCTCACCTCAAGACTTCCATAAGTTCTATCTCTCACTTCAAGATTTCCATAACCTCTATCTTTCGCTTCAAGATTTCCATAACCTCTATCTCTTACTTCAAGATTTTCATGAATTCTATCGTTCATTTCAAGATTTCCATGAGCTTGATCTTTTACTTCAAGATTTCCATGCCCTCTATATTTAGCTTCATGATTTTCACGAGCACTGTCTTTTACTTCATTACTTTCCTGAGCTTTACTATTGACAACAACATTGTTCCGCGGTTTGGCTTTGTCATTCTTATTTTTTCCTTTGCTACCTCCATACATAGGTTTGACAGTAATATTCTTCTTAAGCCTGTCCATAATTCTCAACCTCTTCTCATCTAACTCTCTTCTAAGTATTTCATGGTTCACCTCGGAATTCTCCGGTTGACTAGGACCCGGTAGTACATCATTGTTGTTTTTCGACTCAATCAACGTAGACTTCATAACTTTGTCTTCCTGCGGCCACTGAGAGTTCGTGTTGATAATCTTACTAATTTTAGTCGTCAAGTTGGTCGTTGTTGTTTGAGTACCGTTTTTAGATCCACTGGGAGTTTCAGATATGTCAGCTTCGTCAAGTAAGTCATCATTTTTCGCCGGAGTTTCAATATCCGCTTCTGCTAACGCTTTGTCTGATTTTACTATGGGAAACATTTTCTTAGGTGACGCTTCGATTATTTCACCTTCTTCAACATGATCTTCATCAACTAGTTCTTCATCACTAATTTCTTCTGCTTCTTCAACAACTTTCTTTTTCTCAACAAGTAAATCTTCTACCGGTTTTTCACCCTGAATCATTCCACAAACTTCTTCTTTTTTAATTTGAATTTTCCCACCATCAGTCTCGCCACCCTTTTCAACCAATCCGCCTTCTTGTTCCCCACTACTTTCAAGAACCAATCCTCCATCTTGTTGACTTACCTTATCCTGACAATTTTCCTGTTTATTATCATCATCTTTTAAGCATTTATCATCAGTTTTAATCATCGAATCACTTAAATCAAGTCCCAAATTATCACTTTTCTTCGAAACATTACTTGTCTTACTCACCGACAACCTGGACCTAGATTTCGACTGATCATCACTGCAATAAGAAGATGACGAACTGGAACTAGACGACGAACTATCACTATCAGAGTCAGAATCATCACTCCTGCTATTCTCCAAGCTTTTTTCCGACTCTTGGCTCTTATTTAGCCCTTCAGCATTAGAAATCCTCAGTTCTTTGCAAGTTTCCTCCTTAGGTAAATTTTCCTTGATAACTTCAAACTGCGTGATTTCCAATTTCGCGCCCAAAGTGTTCACCACTGTCTCTGTACTCGCTGAAGTAGAAACTGAAGTTAATGATGCTGCAATAACATTTGAATTATTTTCCTTAACATCAACATTTTTTACCGGCTTTCCATAGACACCAGGATGATAATATAACGCGAAATCTTTCTTCAAAGAATCCACCGTATTATCACCATGTTTTGGAGTAAAATTAATACAAGGCGTCACCGGGAACTCAGGAGTAGTCACGAACCCGGCAACTTTAGTTTCATTGGAATTAATTCTCACAAAAGAACATTGATTACTCGAAGGACTGAGTATTCGTGGAGTAGGTGGTACTCCAATATCTTCCGATTTTCTAGGAGTTTCCAAGTCTTTGATAACCTTTTCAGTTGTACTTGTTTCAAAGTTAGAACTTAGATCACTCGACCCTGATATTTTAGAAGTAATAGTTTTTAGCTTCGCATACTTCTTGGTAACTCCCTTAGCAGTGACAATTGTTGATTGAGCAACTTTCTCACTGGATTTAGCCTCTTTACTCTCAACTTCAACTTCCGACTTAATCGTTGGAGTACCAGGATCATTGTTTATTTCTTCTTTGTCATTTTTCAAAGGTTTATTAGAATTTCTTCGCGGTTTATTCTGACTTTCCTCGGGAATAACAAGTCCTTCTCTCAAATCAGCGTCCCAGGACCTTGGACGTTTCTTTGGAGGTGAACCACTGTCTGACTGCGAATCACACCCAATTATAGTATCAACACCAGACACCTTGTTCCAATTACCCTGGAGCGTCGTAGCTGGGCTTCTGGTAGCAATTGGCGTCTCCAAAGGTTTCAAACTCCTCACAGGTGTTTTTATAGGCGCTTTTTTCCTGGGACTCTTAATTGGAGTGCTGAATAAACTCGAGCGAGGAATTGACTTATTCAGCGGCCGCGATGGAGATGCTCGAGTACTGGTGACTGAATAACGACGACTCGAACTCAAACCAGTTGGTGTATTGAAATCTAAAGCACGAACGTGACTGCTGCGCCGGCGAGGAGTTGACAAGCTGAGTCGATGGTTCTTGGCGCGACTTTTCAGCAACGACTTGGGCGTCCGTTTGATGATTGATTCTTCTTTTTCCAAGATAAAACTAATGTTTCCTGTAAGGTCTACTGTTGGAAGCACTTCAACGGGTGGTGCTGGTGGTGGTGCTGGTGGTCCAGGTGCCTCTGGTGAATGTTTTCGTTTGTTAAGTTTCAAGAATGGCGATAATCCGGCTCCGGAACAAGATATTGAATCATCGGCAATCAATATTGGTATTTCTGTGCCAACCGGGAAGCTTTCCAAGTTATTTTCGTAAAGTGTTATTGCCTCGTCTTCTTGGTCGTTTTTTTTTTTTTCGACAGGTTCAACGAGCAAATTTGGCAGACTGGAAATTTTCGGCGCTATGCGTTTAAATTGAGGAAGATCTAGCAGAGGTGAAGGTGGAGGTGGTGGTGGTGGTGGAGGAAGAGCAGGAGGATCTGGAGGAGCAGGTGGAGCTGGAATTTTTTTGGGAACTTGTACGGTGCGTAAGAAAAGTGTTTCCCCAGGAAGTTTTGGCATTATAGCAAGGCATTGGCTGTTACCAGAAGTCATTCGCACTGAATGTGCTTCTTCGTTTTCTTGGTCCTGCTGACAGAAAACAAGAGTAGTTACAACTTCTTCATTGCTGACTATCTTGGGTTTTATTTTCGTTTGCTCTTGTCGAGGTGCCTTTCTGGGTTTTCCTTTTCGTATTGCTGCTTTAGATACCTTTTGAATTGTTTTGGGAACTGTTGTTAGAATTGAAGATGAAACTGCAGGGAGTAAAGGAGGATTAAAATTCACTGGATTAACATTATCAAGATTGAGATTGGCAGGATTAACATTGACCGGAAGATTGGGAATGTCGATAGATAATACAGTGGCTGGTAGAACCAGAGGAATTTCAGTCTCATTTCCCAATACAACAGCAGTACTTGTAGGATTTTCTTCTTCCTTCATTTCCTCGGTCAAGTCACCAGTTTCGCGGGTTATTTTGTTTACGTTAATTATTCCTTGAATCGCTGCAGCGTTCAAATCGTCAAAGAGGGGGTCATGCGTTGGCTCGTTCAAATTGAAAATTCCTTCTTTGAGGTCAGTTTCTTCTACTGTATTTGGTGGTTCTGTTTTCACTTCTAGATTGAACCTGATTAAATATAATAAAATAGATATAATTATTATGATGTTTAATTGATAGAAATTAAAGTTACGTTTGTCAAAATACCTTTCAGTAGGATTTGAATCATAAGGACTTCCATCTGGAGACTCGTCGGTAGTACCGATTATTTCGTTAAGAAAGTCTTCGAAAACAGGGTCTTTCTCTGTTGTTGTGACAACTGATTTAATCGCGTTATTTAACTCGGACATTATTGAAGTATTTACCTCGGGATTGTCACAGAAACTTGTTTCTTTAATTACAGATGACAAATTTGGTAAACCTGCTTTGTTGATTTGTTCGGCTATTTTTTCTTGGATTTCTGTACGGCTCAACATTTCTCTCGTCAGGAGCTGTAATTTTTAAGAATTATTGATTATGATTGTTAACTAATTAATTTAAAACATTTAATAATTTTTTTTTTAATTTATTATTCTGTTTAATAAAAAAATAATAGTTATTTTGTTTATTTTTTATAATTTAAAAGCAAAAATTTAAGAAAAAAATTTTTTATATCGAATTTGTAATTTTAAAATCTGAAAAATGCGTTTTTTATTTAATAAAATTTAATTCAAAATTTAATGCAAGGTTTGATATGCGAAAAATTAAACAAATAAAATGTTTTGATCTCATGATTTGAATAAAAATTACTGATAAATTTGTAAATTTTGATATTTTTATAAATTGTTATATTGTTTCCGTTATGACACCCAAAAGAAAAATACTTATTAAAAAAGAATAAAAATTTGTCGGTAAATCAATTTTAAAAACTTTTAAAACTTCAGTACGACGTTATCGAAAAATTAACGCATCAAAAGAAATTATTTTTTTAATTGTTCGATTTTTCACATACAGCGTGAAAAAAAATGTATCAACAGTAAAAAAAAATAATTGCGTCACTTTATAGTCAAAATTTATAAATTAATACCAAATTTTAAAATCATTAAATCAATTAAAATATAAAAATAAATTTTCAATAAAAGATTAATTCATTCGCTACGAGCAAAAAAATTTTTTAAATCATTTTTAATTTTCTACGACCAAAAATCGTGCTGAAATCTGACCATTTTTTGGATTTTCATAATAAATGTACTTTAATAAAAAAATTATTAAAGAAAAATTCTTATTTATAATTTCTTTAAATTTTTCAACTAAATTTGTTTCACAACAATTAAACTGCTACAAAATCTAAAAAATTGTCAGATATCTGTTAAATTCTTAAAATAAATAAATAAATGAAAAAATATTCACGCTAAGATTTTCAATAGGCATATCGGATCCCAACTCAGTATCAGATTCAACGTGATCATCCTGGGTCTGAACTTCAGCAGTAGCATAACACATGAGCTCCTTAGTATCAGTAGCCGTGGAATTTTTCATCGGCTGAAGCTTACTCTCTTTATGAACTTCCACAACAGTTTCTTTGATCTTAATCTCAGTAGACAAGGACTGAATATCATTCAGACTCTTGATCAACCCAGCCTCCTGACCAGGTTCCGAGTGACCTGGCAGCTGGTTGAGCTGCGTAGCATCGGTATTAACTTGCTGATTCGAAACACTACCTATGAATGTAAAGATAGTGGGCAGTTAATTATGGATAATTTGTGATTATTTTCAAACTTAATTAATAAAAAGAAACTCTAAAAAATAGCACAAAAAAAAATTTAAAGCATATTTTTTCATATTATTTTTATATTTTCAGTTGAACAATTATTTAGAAATTTTTTATGATACTGAAATTTAGAGACAAATGATCATTTTTATCAAGAACAATTTATTTAAAAAATTCCATCTTTAAAAGTTCAAAAAAAAATGTAAATGCAATTTTATAAAAATAATTTCCTAGACCTAGTTTATTTTTAAAGAAAAAATAAAAATAAAAAATTTTTCAAGTGTCTGCTAATTTCATTCATAATTTTTTTTAATTTTTGAACGTCTGCTACAACCATGCTCATACACTACCTTCGCTTTTTTCCTTATCAGGATCCAACCTGAACGGACGTTTGGGTCTATCAGCGTGCTGATGGCTGTGGAGACGTCGCTTCCTCGAGCTGCCAGCCAGGATCGGCGAGCCACCAGTCTGAGGCGGAGGTACGTTGATGTTCACCACAAATCGCTGTTTACCTCTAGGTGGTCCATCCAACAGCAGCTTGATCATCACCATCAGATCAGTTGACTGAAAATTACTGTCCTCCATCTTGGAGAGTTTTTCTTTAACGAACCCCATCACAAGGAAATATTTCTCCACAATATCTGTCAGTGTGTGGTCGTTAACTTTGGTATCAAACTTCCTACCCTTCTCAGAGACATACCGGCACTCCTCCAGGTGCGGTGACGTCGTGAAAAACTTATTAGCCGCTTCCGAGCACTCATTTTCTTCCAGGTATCCTTTGAATTTTTTATTATATTATTTTAACATAAAATAAAATTATATTAAGGTTAGCGTCACAAATTTACTCACCAAAAACCAGTCGTGCTATTTCAGACGGCAAAATTAATGCCATTATTTGAATCACCAGATTTATAAATAATTAAATAAATAAATAATACTTTCAACATGTGCGGTTTCTTATAATTAACAATTGGCAAAGTATAAACTTAAAACTTAACATTTTACTGTTGAGTGTTTTGATGTTGTTTTTCTTAGCGCTGTCTTTTTCTGATCATCACAACTCTTTGTCAGAGTGCGCGCGAAATAGGCGCCAATTTTTCCCATACTATGTCATTCGTATTTTCGCCACGGCGCTAGTTGTTTTCTTCTCATCTCTATTTGCGCCCTTTTGAACCTTGCTCATGCGTGGTAGGTTGTCAACTGTCGAAACTTGGAGTATGAGTTACAGAGCGCGAGATCTAGGTTAAGTTAAGTGTAAGTAATTTACTGATTTATTATTTTTGATTATTGTTGATAATGATTTATTGTTTTATCTTTTGGTTCAGAAAGTTAAAGTGTTGAATAAATTATTGAGTTTGCTAGTAATTAGTCGTTGAAGTAAATTTTTTACTTTTTTGATTAAGCATGACTTAATTTTATAACACTGAAGTTGACAGACGTTATCAATTTTTTTTCTAGAATTCTATAGCAATTAAATTATTATAAAAAAATTTAATTTAAAAATTCCACATGTGAAAATTAATAAAAAATTAGTGAAAAGTGAAAATTTTTAGAAGAATTTTTTTATTATAGCTATTAAAATTATACTGTAAAATAATATGTATGTTAAAATAATACTGATTAGATGATACCTGACAGTTTTTTTATTTTTATAACAACTAAATTATCATTATCATGGAATAAAATTTTCACATGCAAAAATGTAGGAAACTTATAAATGCGAATTCTTAAAAATAAATTTTTTTATATTTTATTTAATTTATTTATTATAAAAGTCGCTTAAATTGTCAAGTCTGTTGATTACAGTATCATGTCAAAATTTTAAAGTTGGGATTTATTTAAAACAAACCTAATGTTTGAAAATACGTGAAACTAGATAATTTTTTATTTTATTTGAAAAAAAAGTCACAATTTTTTAAAATGTATTTTTTTATAGCAAGAATCATTGTTAACTGTCTAAGGAAAAATTTCATTGATTTTTTTTTTTTTTTTTTTTTTTTTTTTTTGTGTAAGTATTACGTTATTATTAAAAATTTCTTGATAACTGACGATGCAGTCATTTAATTTTTTCGTCAATCATTAATTATTAATCATAATTATACAGAACTATCTAACGATTCACATGGGCTACAGTCTGTATTAGCAATTTAAAATTAGTTATTTAACATGATTTTTATATGTTATCGTTAGCCTGTTTATCTATTACGGGTGTAGTTTTTCTAAACCGTCGAGATTATTTTTTTTACTATTGTTTTCCATTTGCTCCGGTTCCATTGAGACTTTGATTTCCCTGCTGTCCGGTGCTATTAGGAGTTTGACCGGACGTCTGTGAATTTCCAGCAGAGCTTTGGGATCCTGTCTTACTACCATCAAAACGAAGAGGCCATTCAGGCCAACTCTCTATTATCTGATCATTATATTCAGGTTTAATGTACAATATATAAATAAACAACGCAGCTAGTCCTAGGCCGATAATTATACCAAACAAAAACATCAAACTCTCGTTATTAGATTTCATATTGATCTACAAATGCGACTAAATTTCTTTACTAATGTATAGTAAAATAAAAATTAAAAATTTTTTTTTCTTCATTTGTATCGCGAATTCAATACCTCTCCCCTTAGAATAAAAAAAAAAAAATTAAAACGATTCGAAATGGCTCAAAGCGATTAAAAGAGATTTATCTTGACAAATATATAGATCTACATTTTGCATAGGTTGTTCTGAAATATTAATTTCGTTTTTATTGTTTTAAATTGGTTATCAAAGACAAAAAAACTATACTTTACACACAAAAGTTTTAAAATTGATTATTATAATAAACTAGTACAAAAAATCTCGAAACATTTTTTTTCAATTGACCAAACTTATTGTTTTAATTATAAAGTCAAAAATTTTGAATTATTTAATTGATTCTTTCTTTAAATATTATACAAAATATAAAGTTTTTTGTAGTTAGAAAATATTTCATATTTTTATTGCAATAGAAAAACTTTTTACAATAAATTTCCAATAATATAATTGAAATAATAAATCTTTCATTCGTACGATATTTATTACGATGTATATTAATAAATTTATTGATCTGTATTTATGCATAAGGGTACTTTAGTAATTTATTTTATTATTTTATTAAAGATGGATTGCTTCGGATATTGCAGCTCCAGGATTTTTCAAAACCCTTATAATATCTGCTATAGGTTTTAAGACTCCCGATTCAATAATAATTTTTGCGAAATACAGTAGAATAACATTCCAGAAAAAAATCATTACAATTATTATAAATATGAAGATACCAGTAACGAGTCCGATTAATACTATTACCCAATCGCATAAATTCATTTTCACTATCAGTATAATATTACAAATTTTATTACTACTATAACAGTGAAATTGTAAAAAAATTTTTTCACCATTTTTAAATTAAATATTTTTTTAATTGTGTTTTTTATCTTAAACACCTAGCGCATCTTTAAAAACTTGGTTAAGAGTAGCTCCTGACCACCAAAACTTTATTATGCGCCAATGATAACAGACTACGTACAGTAGGGATAAAAATATTCCCATCCCGATGCCAATTAAGTATAAACGTAACGTTGTTATTTTCATTTTTTATAACTAATATAATAATAAATAAATTAAAAAAAATTTATAATTAGAAATTTATGTTATTAATTACTGGTAATTCAAACGCACTGTTTTATCGGCTTACAGTAAAAATTTTATTATGATTATTATTAATTTTTAAAATTAAATTCAGTTAATAATAGATGAGTAAATTTCACAATTTTTACACTCAAATATATTTCTTAACAAAACATATTGAAACTTGACAACAATTTATAAAATAATGCGAAAATTTTAGGTTTAATCCTCGTCAGAATAAAAAAATTTTTTCTACTCTAATCTTTCTTCATCAATCTAAAATTAAACTTCTAAACTATTAACTATATATATGAGAATTTAAAAAAACCGGTAACTGTTTAAATAAAATATCTAAATTTAATAAAACTTCTCCCCCCATTATCTCAACTAAAAAAAATCATTCATTCCCAAAAATTTCAATCCATCAAAATCTTTTAAATAAAAAAAAACCCTACTCTTTATTATTAGACAGATAACATGCGGGTAAAAAAGCACAGACGAAATAAACCCGGGTAAGTTTGAACGGTAGTGGGTGGGAGTCAATCGAGAATCTAAGTAAGAGTCAGTACACAGTATTTCACTCAGTCTGTCCGCGAGCGTCTGACAAGTTGAATCAGGCATCAGGTCTTTAAAAGTACCGCCGTTCGATAAACAATATACTCGCTTAATAAATGATAATAATAAATAATAAATAAAAAAAAAACATACCAAATGAAATTATCACTTATTCTTGGTGATTTTTAGTGCCTAGTGTTAATAAAATAATAAAATAAATAAATAATTAAAACCGAAAAATAAAAATGCGGGAAATGTGTTGTTTTCGCGGTTTCTTATCATTAATATTTGTATTAGTGAGTTACAGTTTGCTTGATGTAATAAGGAGTACAAATGGATTCAACATCGAGACCAAACATTACACCAGTTACAGGGAAGAATCATCTTCGATGTTTGGATTCTCTGTCGCCGAATATCGCGACCACAGTAAACGCGGCTGGTAAAGTTTATTTTAATTAATTAATTTATTTCATTTCAAAAGCGATAAAATATTTTTAGCGTGAAGACCGATAAAAGTTTAAGAGAATGTCGGTGATTATTCATAAAAAACAGCGTAAATAACTTCATTCATTAATTAGTTAGAGATAATTAAACTATTATAATTTATTTTTTCACTGGGATTTGATAAAAGACACTTTATTCGGATATCGCTTTCTTTCGTCAATTAATTATGGACGATATTGATATTGAAGATGATAGTGATTATTATTTATTTATCAGTATTGATATTTTATAAATTCAAAGTGATACGAATGCGTGGTTGTGACCTCGTATAACATTTAGACGTTTTTCTAATCATTATTCATCGCTATCTCTATCGTATCCAATCTCTTTTTTGGTTACAGTCTTTCATAGATAGATATTGTGTATAATATGAATGAATGAAATCGTGGTTATAACTTTATTGCGACATTGGCTTTACTTTATTTCATTTTATATGACGTCGATTTTCAACGAGAAGTCCAAATTTAGATTTGACCTCCTGTTTTAATTTCTCTTATTATTTTTTTTTTCGTGTGGGAGTAAGCAAATTATTACGAGATATTTGTTCATTGTAATTTAGTCATTTTTATTTTTTCAATTCTTTAAAAAAAATTTTTTTTTTATATATTAAATTTAAAACAATTTTTTATAATATTTTTGTCAAAACTTTATTTATGAAATAAATTACAATGATAAAGAATTGTTAAGCTATTTTAATTAGCATTTCTTCTTTACTTGATAATGAAGTTATTTCTTCTCAATATTCAATCTAAAAAAAAAAATTTCTTCTTGTTTTTTAGTCAAAAATTAATTTATGAAATTAATCTTATCAACGAAAAATTATTGAAATAATTCAAGTAAAAATTTCTTCTTTCAAAAAATTTATAGAAGAATTATTTCTTCTCAATATTACAAACAGTTTTTTTTAATTTTTTTATTAAGAAGTTATCTAATAAAAATAAATTATAATAATAAATATCCATAAATAATTTTGAGTAAAATTTCTTCTTTACTTTTTAGTTAAATTTATCGAGAAATCAGTTCTTCTCAATATATTGAATCAAAAACAATTCTTTCTTATTATGTAGTCAAAAATTTAATCTCAATATAAATAAAAATTATTAAATTTTTATCAGTACGATTTCTTCTTAACATCTTAATAAAATAGATAAAAAACTAAATTCGTAATTAATTCAAAAATAAATAAATAATTTTTATTACATTAGACCGTTTGCAACTTCCGTTGCGATATATTACAGTGTGATTTCCGTCCGGTTTACAAAGCGCGTCTAAGCATTAAAATTAATTTTCATGCTCATCCTCACTTACGTTTGATGCAAAAATATATACATATACTTATTCATACACTTAAAAATAACATGAATCATCGTTAAAGTTTAAAAACTTTTTTCCCGTAATTTGTCTTTATAATAGTAATACAACAGACAAAACAAAAATTCACCAGTTAGATGTTAAAGATCAAGTATATCTGTAAAATATAATCCACCGTGATAAAGAGTCGCGAGTGATCGAGAATACCCGTAGAAAGGATAATGAGGATCGCGTGAGGCACGTGCCTCAAGTCGCTCAGACTCTTTCAATAAACTATAATCATCTTTCCTCGTACTCTCTTAACGTTTTTTAAAATCCTTCAATGATCCTGTAAATTTACTGGTTCCCAGCCATTTTATAACACCTCTTACACCTATTTTATTTCAATAAAAATCATTATGGGGGAAAATAATAATAATAATTTTAGTTATTACTTTAGACTATAAAGCGCAGCCACAATAATAATAAAAAAAAAAAAATAATAACAATAATAATTTTCGTTCAAAAATGTATTGATTAGGTTCAAAATTTTTAGTTAGTCAAATATTTGTTGTTGATTTAAGGATTATTTTGTATGATCTTGGTCCTTCCGGATGTCCAGTATATAAATATATATATATATATATATGTACTTTTATTTGTCTATGCAGATACGTACAGAGTAATAGTAATAAAGTGGTAGTATATAACAAAAATGTGCGCAGCATATGGTGAAAGCCGAAACAAACTCATTCCTCGTGTCCTTCTGGTGTTTGTCAAAAAATTTATTGTGAGCTGAAGCGCACCTCCGGCAAAGCATATGTTGACCTGATGCTGCTCTAAGTCTTTAATCTTATATCTGTTGTATTCCTGATTTATCTATTTTAACTGCACATGCACACCTTTGACAATATTGTTGTAGTTTTTTTTTTTTTTTTTTTTAGAGGGAAATCAGTTTTTATATCGATCAATTTAACGTTTAAAAACTGATGAATTCTACTCTGACTAATATTCTTGATAAGTTTGATTTTAAAATGTGACAAAATTATTATTATTAGTATAACCGGAAGATAGGAAGTGGAATTTCCTACAGCACTGCTGTTGGAATATTCTACTTTCCTCATTGGCAAGTAATATACTAGAGATGTTTATGATTACAATTACAATTACTTTTTGACAATAATAGAAGAATTTGTGAATATTTAATGAGCTTTATTGACTGTTTATATATGATTTTTTAACATTGAATGATTTAATGAATATTCACTAACGGTTAATAAATCATTTATTAAATAAAAGTTATTAATAGTTAATAAATATTCAATAATTAAATAAATATTTATTAACACTTAACGAATCGTTAATTAAACAAAACTTATTAATTGTTCGCAAATATTTGTTTATATTCAATGAATATTTGCTACTTGTTGATAAATATTAATTAACTCTTAATAAATCTACTTGCCTTCTATAAAATATTTTTTATTATTTAAAAAATATTTATTTTTAGTATAAATAAACTTATTAACTGTTAATAAATTCTCCTATCAGTGCGGAATTATCAATTTTTATTAGAAAAAAAATAATAAGTACATCCTATCGATTGTTATTACAAAATTGAAGATAAAATGAAGACACATGATTTACATTCTTACGCTAATCCAACTATACATACAACATCAATAACAAATGTTCATATCCCGGAAATAGAATAATAACATGTAAAAAATGTGTAGTAAGCTTAAAAATTGGGGTCGGAAGTAAACTAACGAATTTTTAAAAGGACAACTGAAGTAAAACTTTAGTTCTTGACTGTAAATATAATTATATAGTAGAGTTATGTATTAAATATAATACTCAAGGACGATAATATTACTTTTGCTAAGCATTTGTAATTATTTATGTCAGAAAAACGTTAAAATGTGTCATATAAAACAGATTAATTTTATGTAACAATCTTCTATCCTTTCTAAACTCTAACGTATTAGTGAACTTTCAAATATTCTGTCAATTATAAAAGTGATTAATTGATGTGTTCATGGGTGGTTCGACAAAAAATGGTTAAATTGAGTTACATTTATGAATCCGTTCTTCTAGTCATGCTATGGTTTATTCTATTTTATTATTAATGATTTCATATTTAAACTAAAGAAAACCAGGGCAGTAAATTTTTTAGGAAGAAATTAAAAATTTGTCGTAGAAGAAATTTTCTTAGCTGAATAAAATTTTTACTCCTCCTAAAACAACTTTAATTTCCTCATAAATTTTCTTGGCTCAAGAAAATCTTTTTTAATGCCTAATATTTCGTCTGTAAAATTTTTTTGGTCTGGTGAAAAATTAATTCAATTGAAGAGAAAAACATCTTGAACCAAGAACTCATTTTAAAATGACATTCTAGCTTAATGATTGAAGAAATATAGAAATATGGAAAAATTGATCTGGATCTTGTTTGTAGAGAATTAAATTTTCTACAAAAAAGGTTTCAGATCATTTTTTTGTACCTATGAAATTCAACCCAAAATTTTGATTTTAAGTTTTATAACCACGTACAGAAAAAAAGATTTCTTGACTGGAGAATAAAATTCTTGGCTCAAGTAAATTTTCGGGTGCCCGAAGGAAGACCGAAGTTGTCTTGGCCGAAGTAAAAATTTTTATTGAAATTCTATTCTTGGTGGAAGTCATTTTTCTTTATTCAAATTATCATAAATACTTGATATAATAAATTTTTATATCGGATCAAGATTTTTAGATACTTTAGGGAAGCAGCGCTACCTACTTCAGCTGAGAAAAAAATTTTCTTACCTTAAGAAAATTTTTCTCTTGAATATTTGATACCCATTTTAGATTATTTTAGCACGCAATTATACGTATTGAATGAAAGAAAATGGTTCAATATTATTTGATCTTCCAATTTAACATGTTCGTTAATAAAAATATTAATGAAAATTTATTATCGAGATATTTAATTTTTTGGAGCAAGAGAAAAATTTTCTCAAAACAAGAAAATTTTCTTGATTTAAATAAATTGTCTTGGATCAAGGTACGTATTTCTTGAAGCAAGAGAATTAATTTTGTTGGGATAAGTGAAATTTCTTGTGTCAAAAAAAAATTTTTTTTTCGCCCAAGAAAATAATTAACAAGAAAAATATTTTCTTGGTTCAAGTGAACCATTCTTTCTGTGCGTAATCAAATCAAACAAGCTTAGAATTGAATTTTAAATTAAAATTCTGGCTAATTGATGAGAGATATCCACAAACTGATCAGAATTTTTTTTATAGAGAGAATTCAATTTCCTACAAAAAAAAGTATCTTATAATTTTTTCGTATCTCCAAAACTCAACCCATAATTTTGATTTTAAACTTTGCTAACATGATCTAATCAAATACTTTTAAAAAGTCGAATTTTGAAATGAAATTCCTGAAAATGATTTTCTTGGTTCAAGATTTATTTTCTTATGTCAAATAAATTGTATCATAAAAACGTAATTATACTCGATAAGTTTATAATGAAATAAAGTAAATAATTGTTGTGTAATTGAACTCAAAAATAGGTCATCGAGCATCGGTTAATCCGATTTAACAGCCGTTAATTAAATTAATGCGATTATTCTTAATTCTGCTCTAGATATCGCTTTCATTATCTTC